TGCAACCAAATTTAATCTACGATTTACCACGTGGGTCATATTGTCCCATGTGGCTGCCACTGCATGACCCACTGAAGTCGCCAATGTGTTAAAGGCAAAAATGATTGTGCAAAAATCGTAGTATCGTTAGCGTCCGTTCATCAGTGAAAAAGTCTATAGTCTATATTCAACTCTTGCAATAAGCCTGCCACGCCTTCATGAAAGGAAAATCTGCCGCTAATCTGTACTCTAAACTTGCAACATCCTTTGGGGCTAAAAGTTTCACGTTTGCCATTACAGGACGTTGCGACAAAGGAAGGAAGCGAGGAGAAGATTCTCAAAAAGGCGATCGATCGCTGTTTTGAAGCAATATTCAAAAACTCTAGCGATATGATTACGGAGGTACCTTAACGTCTCTGGACTTCTCTTGATCAATAAATCATATTCAGAAGCTTGGGCGAAAAGTTTTGGAGTTTGTGAAAACAAATCAGTTCGAAAGCTCTCTTGCAACAGACATGCTTGCTTCAGTCGTCGCTTCTGTGACCTATGCAAGTTTTGATTTACAAAGTTTTGACTTACTTTTGACTTACTTTACTTTCACTTACTTTCCAGCGAAACCAATTGGGTAAATAACCTTCACTTCAGGAGCTACCTTCGTTCTGGCTCCTTTTCGCAGAACATGTCCTTCGCAATTTGAGAGTAGTACTCACACGTAAGCATTTTTGATATAGTAGTAAAAGTTCCTGGCCGCCTCCTTCTAATCCTATACTTTTGCAGCTGAAATGAAAAAGGCCGAAGAGCTCGATGCATCTGCATCATGGTTTGTTTCTTTGGCTGCCGCTTTGTTGGGAACGACTAGCGAGGTACGTTGACCACTTAAATTTGTTGTTCCGTTGCTTTTTACGGCTCATTTACAGAATTACATCCAGCACAAAGGTATCTGCATAGAAATGATCGATCTATTGGTGAATTGCAAAAGTTCGGTAGCATACAGTGTAAGCAGTTTTACTTGCAGCAACCATTTCAACCGCCAACTATGATCATTTAGGGTGGAGCGCTTGGGCTGTGGAACAGCCTGTACACACTTTCCCGCGTATATCCAGAAAACACCTATTTTAGGAGTAAAATGTTGAGCAGACCTTTGAAAGAATGGGTGCCTATCAGGGTAGATAGTTGCAACTAAATAAGATCCTATTGGGTCGACGTTCTCTACCTGCAGGAATGGGCGCGACTGTACAACAGAGAGGAGGTAAAAATGGCTTGGAATATCCCTAATGAAAGAGGCAGAGCTGTAATAGAGGAGATTCTGAATAAGTTCTTTTTTCCTACAATGGATCTCGTAAAAACCGTGCATGTAGATAGGTGGGTCATTCTCATTCCTCGAGCCGTGCATGCTCGCAAAATCTTTTGAGTAGCTCAAAGATTACATCCATAAGTTAATACTCTTTTCAGGGAGGAACTTAAAAAAGCATTCACGATAATGAGTTCGATCTTGACTGGAGGCGCCACTTCCTTCTCCATGCCACCTTCGCCGCTGTTTCCTTGTCCTATCTCAAAATTGCCTTGGTTCAATCCGGATATACCCAACACTGCAGTGTTCAAGTCAGGTCCGTGCCAAAGTGTTGTAGGTGGATAT